AGGTGAGTTGCGCGTTCAAAGTCACAAAAATACAGCGGCAAACCTAGGACTTGAACCAGATACAAACTGACTCCAAATTCTACTTCCCACACCCCACCTCCACCTCCACCCCATTTAATCTACCAGCGTTAAGCTACCCTCGAGTAAAAAAAAAAAAAAATGTACTATTTAACAACAGTAAAAAGAGAGAGAAGTAGCTACCACCGAGACAAAAGCTTTCTGGTGAGTGAAATGTTTTAAAGAGGAGTTTAGCACAGGGATAATGTGAGAACCGGAGTTTCGGTAAAAAGGGAAAGAAACCGCTAGAGGTACGCGGCCCGCCCCATAAGGGTGAATGGGGTTAGTGGGTCCTTCACTTCTCTTAAGTGTACTAGGGCGACAAGACAGAGCATCCAGGCCTATCATCTCCTCACTTTCTTCTCGCGGGTTTTTCTCTCTTCTCTTCTCCTTTCGAACTCCTCAAAGGAAATCTTCCCTTCCAGATAGTCGATGAGCTCCGGGCTGAACCCCGACATGCTTGCGGGGTTCTGCTACGCAGTTCCAGGAACCAGGACGGAGAAACGGAACAGCAGAGGCTCCCAGACGCTAACCCCGCGCCGAGCCGCTAAAAGCAAGGACCCGAAGTCCTTCCGGGAAACTGGCTCGGCCTGCGCCGCACCCGCCGCGTTCACGTTCCGCTGCTGCTGCTGCTGGAAACTGGCTCGGCCTGCGCCGCACCCGCCGCGTTCACGTTCCGCTCCTGCTGCTGCTGCTGCGCCTCTAATCCAGGCTTCTTCCTGGAGGCGTAAATAGGAGCGCGCGAGTAGGCGGGACCTGATCTGGACCCTCCCAGCTTCCAGGACTCGGAGTTTGCAGCTGGGCTCCGGCCTCTGGTTTAACCTTGTTAAGGAGTTGGGGAACGTGCTTGAAGAAAGTGTTCCTTCATCTACAGTATTTCCCTCAAAAATATTTGTTCTTTAATTTGATCATTAGTTGTTCAGTCGCTCAGTCGTGTCCAACTCTTTGTGACCCCATGGACTGCAGCACGCCAAGCTTCCCTGTCCTTCACTATCGCCTGAGTTTGCTCAAATTCTGTCCATAGAGTCGCTGATACCATCCAACCATCTCATCCTTTGTCGCCCCCTTCCCCTCCTGCCCTCAATCTTTCCCAGCATCAGGGCCTTTTTTAATGAGTCGGCTCTTCGCATCAGGTGGCCACAGTATCAGCTTCAGCATCAGTCCTTCCAATGAATACTCAAGACTGATTTCCTTTACGATTCACTCGTTTGATCTCCTCGCAATCCAACAGACTCTCATTGTCTTCTCAAACACTACAGTTCAAAAGCATCAATTCTTCAGTGCTCAGCTTTCTTTTTAGTCCAACTCTCACATCCATACATGACTGCTGGAAAAACCATAGCTCTGACTATATGGACCTTTGTCAGCAAAGTGGTGTCTTTGCTTTTTAATACGCTGTCTAGATTTGTCATAGCTTTTCTTCCAAGAAGCAAGCGTCTTTTAATTAGTAGTAGAGCCAGGATTCGAAGCCTGGTCTGACTCCAAATCCCATAATTGGAATTAATACTGTCTCTCCTTGAGGCTTCCCTGGTGGCTCAGTGGTAAAGAATATGCCTGCCAATTTAAGCCCTGGGTAGGGAAGATCCGCTGGAGAAGGAAATACCAGCCCACTCCAGTATTCTTGGCTGGGAAATCCCATGGACAGAGGATCCTGCTGCGCTGCAATCCATGGGGTCACAAAGAGTCGGACGCAATTTAGGGATTAAACAACAACTGCCTCTCCTCAGTGGAACTCTACGTCAACCTACGCACTCCTGTGCTTTATATTTTACACCGCATTATAACTTTCTCTGTTGTCCTATTCTAAAGACATTTGCTGCCAACATCTTGAGAACAGCACTACCTGATACATCTTATTGGACTCTCCTCTCTAGGCTAGTAATCTGTGCTTAAATCACATTGATGAATTCAACTGGATGGAACTGAAAGTGCCTTGGGAACAGGCAAGGGAGTAGAAGTATGGAATGCAGCTCAATATGAAGCTGAGGTCAAGGACAAGTTACAGGGAGCCTAACACCTGACTTGGCCACTAGTGCCTCTTTATGACAATCCAGATGCAGAAAAGCCACCGTTTGATGGCAGAATGAGGACCAGGACCAGCAAGAGGGGAACTCCCAGGTGAGAGAAAAATATCCCACAGCTAGAAGTCATTCCTTTCTCATGATAAAGGATCCCCAGGGCCCTATCTGGGTATAAAATATGGGAGGCTAGCAAGGTAACTCACAGAAATTCCTAACAGGTCAATTCCCCCCTGAGTTTCTCCAGGCATCCAGGGAGCTGCGCTTGAGAGGAAGTCAAGAGTCTCTAGTCCTAAGTCTCCTAGGGGAAAACAAGGAAATCAAAGGGAGAAGAGCTGGCCATCTGGTAACGAGAATGTTCTCCTGAGAGCCCGATGGCCTGTGCGCTCAGTCACTCAGTTGTGTCCAACGCTTTGTGACCCCATGGATTGTAGCCTGCCAGGCTCCTCTGTCCATGGAATTTTATTTTGTTATTGGATGCCTGGAATATGGGAATAACAATTGTGAAGATACAGATTCACGTTGTGGAGAACTGGAGAGGGAGCAAGGGGGTGACAGTTTTTCTGCTATGGATGACCATTGTTTTATAGGTCAGAATGTATTATACCAACATGTCTTGAAATTGTAATCTTTCTGCTTTTCCTTTCTCTACTTCTTTGTAAGTAATGTGTCCACTGGTGAGTCAGAGGCATCCACATTACCTTGAGATGAAGTGGAATTGTTACAGCAGTAATGAAAATAGCAAGAAAAAACTTTTCAGACTTTCCGACTCATTTCTGAGAATCAAGATGAAAGGTCTGAGGAAAGCAGAAAGCAGAACACTGAATTTATACGGTGACCAGAGCATGAAGCGTACACAGGGAGGTCACGACTCCCCTTTCTCAAGTGGAGGAGTCAAGATGGGGTATGACGCTTTCGGGGAGGCAGTTTTTCCATGGTTGTCTTCTCTGCAAAAGCTTACCACTGCTTTCCCTCTGGGCTATCTTTTCAAGGATGCCTGGAGAACAAACAGCCTTGAAACACAGAAATACTGTCTCCCTCTGGGGCAGAGGACAGATTTGCTTCCTGACCAACATAATAAAGATGTTTCCCTCTGGGACAAAGGTTGGGTATATTTGGGCATGTAACCCCCTTGTAAGAGTGAGGATTTCCTAAGTTTGGGGTTCCTTGGCTGTGGCACAAATCAACTCATGCCCAGTAAACACCTGTACCCACCCCCACATGGCCCCTATGATACCTGGCGGACAAGGAGAACAAATGCGAATGTAAAACTCAAGCTGCCTCCTGAGCCATGAATAATAAAATCTGTTGTCTCAGACCCAGGGATCTCAGGGTCCACCAAGATTTGTGAAATTGTAGCAGCTAGTGTGTAGCTTGCAAATTGGACAAAATCTCGCACCCTTAATAGTTCTTGACCACACTAGACCTGGGATAGGGGCCAACAGGCCATGTCCTGGGGACAGGGAATGGGATGCTCATCAAAGAGGAGCAGAGTCAGTGTTGAGAGGCTGCCAAGGACCTGAGAAAGAAGGACCACAGACCCCTTGGGAGCCTAGATCACCTGCAGAACACTTAGTATTTTCATGGCAGGAAACACTACTCTTCCGCTGACGACAGTTCTTAGCCTGAACTAAGAACTTCACTTCCCCAGTGACCTTCTAGAAACACTACTAGGGAGGTTTTGGTTGTCAAAATAATGGAGGGGGGGATCACTAATATGCCACTATATATTGTCTGGGGACCAGGTGTGCTAAATGGTCACTATGAAGACTTGTCCTTCCCCAACTGACAATCCCATCACCACTGAGAAACTCTAGTCTAGTGGAGTGTAGGCCTCCCATCGACAGCTACCTGCCAGTTGGGAATTTTTCAGCAGAAAGGATGCATGCTCCTTCTCTGAGACTTTGCAAGCTCACAGCTAAAAGTCCCTTGTGGATGCTCTTCATTTTCAAAGACCTTGAAACTGATAAAGCATTCCTTTTTGGAGGTCTTGACAACCAGAGCAGGAGTGGTGAAAGGAAAAGGGAAAGCCTGTCCTTTAGGTATTTGAGTGGAACTGGACAGTAGTGAAGGATCCCCACCACTCTATCATTTGTCTGCATAGGCTATATTTTTATGAGGAATAATATCAATAATTAGTTATATCCTTTAAATGGTTAAACAAAAAATCTTGGCATTAACTAGAAGCAGCTTTCATTACATTTGCTATTGATAGCAAAATAGCACACATTTAGTTCAATTCAACAAGTGTTTTTTGAGAGCTTACTATATGCAAGGCATTGTAGTAGGTGCTGGAGAAATTAAAAATGGCTTAGATATGATCTTGGCTCACAAATATCTCACAACTCTCCAGGGAAAACAGACACTTATATGACTACTTACATAGAATATACTAAACCAGACATATAACCTGTTCCTGCATATTTTATTATTCATATTCAATCATCTACCAAAAAAGCCACATAAAACTACTTTGGAATGTACAGACTAATGTCATTAGGATTACAGTGTGTGCTTCCAGCACAATGTGTTTTTATTTATTTATTTTTTTTTGCAGAAATCAGAAAAAATGATACAGCTCTTCATAAACAAAAGTAGTTGTTACAAATAAGAATATGAAAATCAGACTAATTCAGCCTGAGTTGGGGAGGGGTGGGTGGAAGAAGAGGACTGGTTATGAAAGAAGGGAAATCTGCCTGTTTCTACCCTCGCTTTCTGAGGTTGTAGTTTCCTAAGATATCTGCTGTGGGGTTTCCCTTGTAGCTCAGTTGATAAAGAATCCACCTGCAATGCAGGAGATCTGGGTTCGATTCCTGGGTCAGGAAGATCCCCTGGAGAAAGAAATGGCAACCCACTCCAGTATTCTTGCTTGGAGAATCACATAGACAAAGAAGCCTGGCAGGCTACAGTCCATGGGGTTGCAAGTCGGACATGACTTAGCGACTAAACCAAGATATCTGCTGTAGCACAATGTCCACCTCTGAACATCATGGCAGAGAACATCTCCCAGAGGCCCAAGTAACTCCTAAAATCCCATGTTTCTTTGTCTTCCATTTCAACTTATTTGTGGATATTCACTACTTACTCTCTCTTGATATGAAACTAAGACTATGGGGTCTTTTAATAGCATATGCTGACAATGGGAATCTATATTCTGTTTAGGAAAAAGATACATTTTAAACCCAAATTTCTGTTACAGATAATGAACTAAAGTAAAGATGATCAATGTCCCTTTCAAATAAAAACACCAATGATAAAAAAGAAACATAGAACACAGCTGAAATGAAACTAATTTATAAGATCATAATTTCCTTTGACTTTATGGTGTTTTTGTAATCCTTGCAAATATATGCAGTGCTATATTGACATCTATGATTATTGAGTAGGAAAAAAACCATGCACATAAGTCACATATGTCCCAAAGCTCAAACTATTTACATGTAAATCTGGAAATACAGAATAAAATCATTACAGACTGATAAAAGTGGGGGGGGAAAAACACACACAAAAACTTAGCCATGATCAAGACTGAATTTTTCTAGTGAGAAGCTTCATCTGTAGTTTTAAAACCACCAGACTTCTGAAAGAAAAAGAAAACATTATAATGAAATAGAAATGAAGATTATACAATTAACCCAAAGACCCAAAGATCAACATATTTCAGTGAAAACTCTTTTTGTCTTCATTTCTTATCAGAGTTGTTAGAACTGGAAAGCTCGTAATTATGAAATATTCTCCAAATCAGAAATTTTGCTTCTTTCACAAAGTTGGATAATTCTTATTATATTACAGTACCACTAATGGTGTTCTTTTTTTTTCTGCCCTTAAACATTATCTCATTTTGTGCTTACATGAGTATATGTACTTGATGTTTTCTCTAAAACTTTCTTTGAGTTAGAGATCCATATATGCAATTTATAGATGAATAAACTAAGGCTTAAAAAACAGCTTGTATGCAATACTGTCCCATACTGAAACGGATATGTGGTATTAATAATTATTCTCTTTTTAGTGTATGTTACCCTTGGGGCTGAGTGTGAAAAGTAGTCAAGGGAAGCCTTCATTAATATGCTTGTTTTTCTTGTATCTTATTTTCTCATTGTAGGACAGTTTTCAAGTGTATATGCCACACAGTAAGTTGCATCCTCTTGTTAGAATAACAATCATTATTTTTTTAAAGTCATCACATTTAAAGTAGCTAATCATCCAAATCCTTTCACAATCATAATCAAGTGCAACAGTGGTTTGCTTCCTCATAATTCCATCCATATGCCCATGAACGAATGGGAGTAGATTTTAGTTATGATTTGGTTCCCTTTACTATTCAGAAAAACAAAAAGTTAATAGACAAGAATCATAATGTATTTTCTTTGTACCATACCTGTTCCTTTTTAAATAGTAGGTATTTATTTGATAGGAATGCTAAAGTAATATGAATAAAAAATTAAATCTTAGACATAAACTTCTAAATTTTTTCCCATGATAAAGTGCCATCTTTACTAATATTCTACCTTTTTCTCCCCACTAGGTGAGGAAGTTCAAGCTCAAATATATGCTTAATGATTTCTTCCCAAAGAAACCATTCTTTTAACTTTTTAATTTCCATTTAATCCAGCTGGACAGTTCAATATATTTCTTTACATACGATTTTCCACATAATTTAGCTATATGACCTGGTCTGAAAAAAGATATAAGAATAGGTGATTTTTCATTGTATTTCATAATTCTATTGAGTGATAATTCTACCATTTTAATATATCTCTTCTCCCCAGAAAGCTATGCTTTGAAAATTACTAACTGTCCTTTCTTTTTAAAACCAGACTGTAAAATATATAAACCAAATCTGAGTATTAACAGTGACGAGTATGATCAGAATTGAGCACTTATTTATGTAAGGAAATAAAATCATTTATTCAAATAAATATTTTCCAAACCTCTTTATGACTCACTTATATGTTTAGAGAGATCTAGGGATAAAGGGGGAGAAGTCAATGGCACCCCACTCCAGTACTCTTGCCTGGAAAATAACATGGATGGAGGAGCCTGGTAGGCTGCAGTCCATGGGGTCGCTAAAAGTCAGACACGACTGAGCGACTTCACTTTCACTTTTCACTTTCATGCATTGGAGAAGGAAATGGCAACCCACTCCAGTGTTCTTGCCTGGAGAATCCCAGGGACGGGGGAGCCTGGTGGGCTGCCGTCTATGGGGTCGCACAGAGTCATACACAACTGACGCGACTCAGCAGCAGCAGCAGCAGGGATAAAGGGATAAATTTTACCTGCACTCAGAGGAAACAGTCAGCCTTTGAGGTAATTGGAGAGGGAGTTTTTCTGGTCTTCATAATCTGCAAATGCAGAAGCAATAAGTTCTGACTGCAAGGAGAGAGGCCTGGGATTCTCATTCATGGAGAAAGTATCTGAAAACCTCCCAAGATCAAGACCTCTTCCTTTAAAATATGCCTGAAGAGTCCTAAAAAACTGAAGAAAGAAAGAAATGTTCAATGTCATTTATAACTTAAATACCCCAAGCACTCAAAGGTGAATATTTTTTCCCTCATTTTGCCCCCTGAACCCCACAGTGCTCAGAGCTCAGATGCCTCCTCTCTGACTGATGGTGAAACACAGCCAGTCGTTTTGGATGTGGGGTTTTCAGCTGTGTGTTCTGCAAATATACAGAAGCTATGCAAGTGCTATTAGATTATTTTAATACTATATTGTTATATTTTACATAATTTTCTTTAGAAAAATAGTATTTTGAAATCATAAAGTCAGCATGTTTGCTATATTTGGCATATTTTTAAATGAGAATTTTTACTGATATTTTGAATTCTATTTCCAAGATAACTTTATGCTGAAAATAACACCTAGCAAATTGACAAGAATACAGGTTAACCTTCAGATTTTGCAACTGGGCTTTGCAAGTGTTGGTTATATGACAATCTGTTTTATTATCAGTTCAACCTAAGCTGTGCAAAATGCAATTCCCTCTTACGCTCTTAATTTTGTATATTTATTAGAAATCAAGGCTATAAAGTCAATATGTATATAAGATCATTTACAAATGTAATGTGCTATGTGTATATAAAATCATTTCTAAATATAAATTTGTTTCTTCACACAGAAACAAATGTAAATCGGCTAGAGAAACAATAGAACACTGGCTACAGGCTAGCAAAATTCACCTCTAGTGCTGCTGGGGAATCTTCTCAACCCTCGGCAGCCTCGTCTCCGCTGTTGTCTAGCAGAGTGCATAACTCCAGGGAGGTGCTGATTTCACCCCACAGCCCGGGATGTCCCGGTGGCTATTCTTACCAGATCTCGGTTTCTAGGAATGTTGAGGGGCTTCCATTTTTCTTCATTTCTCAGCATGGCTCCTTGCACAAGCCCAGGTAGCACCAGGGCACCAGCCAGCAGCAGGAATGCTTTGGGCATGGTGGAGGGAAGCTGAGTGAAAGGAAGGACCAAGGAATGTCGACGACCAGAGAGGGAGTGACTGGAGAAAAGAAAAAGAGAAGGGAGGAGCAGGGAGGGCACAAGTAGAGAAGAGAAAGAGGAAACATTTTTAGAGGGAAAGGAGGAAGAAGAAGTAGTATATCGATTCATCTGAACTTTGCAGTCTTTTTTTTCCTCTTCATTTGCTAATGAGGTCCCCCCAGAGCCAGCTGATTAGCTTAAAGGAGTCTCTGAGAATGAGGTTATACAGTGACAAACAGAGCAATTATGAATACAGCCTATAAAGTGAGTATGCCTTTTCAACTGAAAAAAAGCACTTGTCCCAGAGAAAGTGTATTTCTTAATAATAACAACAGCAGAACCCAAAGCAAACAACAACCCATCTTAATTTACTTTAAGTGGTAAGACAGCAGACTCGAAGAGAAGGAAAAAAAAAATGTACACCTTCCACACAGGTCGGAGACAGACACATCACACCAGTGCTAGTAGAGATTGTCTCCCACCCCAAGGTGTAAAATGGAAATGAAACTCAACAGAAAGAGCTAATAAAGCTTACCAGGAGTTCGGTTTTGCCTGGCCCTGGTTGGTTACATTGCCTGCAATCTGCAAGGCGATTCATGGCTACTTATAATCAGCGGATCAGTTGCAGGTGGGAGTCACTGACGTGAGCAGCAAGAGTTCAAAATAATGATTCCATTTTCTTCCACAGCACAAAGACCCTTGAAAATCACATCCTCAGGCTTCTTCGGGGCTAACAGAGAACCTATTTGCCCTAAATAGAGCAGATCCTCCTCCAACCACTGAACATTTTATTTGGATGTTATAAAATACACAAAGCACTTCCACACAGCAGAATGGCTTTCTCCTTTTTCACTTCTAAGAGAAGGTATATACACAGCAGCTGGAAATATGATGATGACTGTCCCACCTAAGAGAATGTTCTTTTGAAGTTATTAACCTTTCAAATTATACAGAAAATTCTATTGCAAGAGATAAACTGCTCTTTTGTAACCCATAACTTGTATTTCTTCTGGGAATCTCAAGAAACTTTACAAGTTTTTTTTCATTTATTTTTATTAGTTGGAGGCTAATTACTTTACAATATTGCAGTGGGTTTTGTCATACATTGACATGAATCAACCACGGATTTACATGTATTCCCCATCCCGATCCCCCCTCCCACCTCCCTCTCCACCCGATCCCTCTGGGTCTTCCCAGTGCACCAGGCCCGAGCACTTGTCTCATGCATCCAACCTGGGCTGGTGATCTGTTTCACCCTAGATAATATACATGTTTCAATGCTGTTCTCTTGAAACATCCCACCCTCGCCTTCTCCCACAGAGTCCAAAAGTCTGTTCTATACATCTGTGTCTCTTTTTCTGTTTTGCATATAGGGTTATCGTTACCATCTTTCTAAATTCCATATATATGTGTTAGTATACTGTAATGGTCTTTATCTTTCTGGCTTACTTCACTCTGTATAATGGGCTCCAGTTTCATCCATCTCATTAGAACTGATTCAAATGAATTCTTTTTAATGGCTGAGTAATATTCCATGGTGTATATGTACCACAGCTTCCTCATCCATTCGTCTGCTGATGGGCATCTAGGTTGCTTCCATGTCCTGGCTATTATAAACAGTGCTGCGATGAACATTGGGGTGCACGTGTCTCTTTCAGATCTGGTTTCCTCGGTGTGTATGCCCAGAAGTGGGATTGCTGGGTCATATGGCAGTTCTATTTCCAGTTTTTTAAGAAATCTCCACACTGTTCTCCATAGTGGCTGTACTAGTTTGCATTCCCACCAACAGTGTAAGAGGGTTCCCTTTTCTCCACACCCTCTCCAGCATTTATTGCTTGTAGACTTTTGGATAGCAGCCATCCTGACTGGCGTGTAATGGTACCTCATTGTGGTTTTGATTTGCATTTCTCTGATAATGAGTGATGTTGAGCATCTTTTCATGTGGAGAAACTTTACAAGTTTTAAATAGTAGCATGGTTCATCATAATACCCCTTCAAAATAGAGCAGAAAGATAACATACATTTTGTGTAGAAAAAAAAAATATTGCCTTATCTACAGCATCCTCTTGCTAAATAAATGGCATCTGCAGAAAATTGTAGGGTTGAGTAATTGGACTTTATGAATTGAAGTTGCTTTGGTTCCGAGAATTCAGAACAATCCAGGACAAGCTCTTTGTTGAGAAGGTTAGTAATCTGTATCCCCTAGAGAAGGGAATGGCAACTCATGCCAGTATTCTTGCCTGGAGAATTCCATGGACAGAAGAGCCTGGAGGGCTAAGGGTTGCCCACCATAGGGTTACAAAGAGTCAGACACGACTGAGTGACTAAGCTTTCACTTTCACAGTAACTGTACTGGAATTTAGAGTACCTGGCTACAATCTTAGTCTTGCCATCTTGACCTTGGGAGGGTCCTTATGACCTTCATTTATTCATGCCTTTGTTCATTTATTCAACAAATTTATATTGAATGCATACTATGTGCTGGGGACTGCACAGGGTTTTTGAGGATAAAATGATAAGAATTATAAATCTATTTATTTAACCTGTTAATTCAATAAAGGCACTTGCCCTCAGTGAATTAACAGATTAGTGGGCAAGACAGACATTAATCAAACCTTTATATGACAAAATGTATAAATATCAAGGGTGACAACTTCTACTGAGATTACGGTGCTGTGTGTGTAGAACAGATGGATCTGATGCAGTATGTGGGATCAGGTAAGGTTTCTGTGAAGAACTGACCTTACATCTGGTAGATGAGTGGGAGTTACATAGGCAGCCTAGGGAGGACAGAGAGAGAAGAGTTGTTCAGAAGGTGAACAACTCTGCTGGCCCCTGTGATCAGAAGAAACATGGCATTCAAGCAACTGAGATTAAGTTAATATCTGAGGAGCAAGGGAGCAATGTGGGGAGCTGATGCAGGATGGGCCTGTAGAAGTTGTCAGATCATAATCTTTCTGCTGCAAGCAGTGCTAAGTGATTGAAAAGTTTTAAGTATCCAAGTGACTTGATCAGACTTACAACTTAAAGAGGCTATTCTGGTTGCAGTGTGGAGGACAGATTGAGCTAGAAAAGAGAGAGACCAGTTGCTGACTACTGCAATAAGCCAGGCAGGAGAAGATGTAAGCTTGGATTAGGCTGGTAGCACAGATGCAGAATAATGGATGGGTCTGAGAGATGATTAGAAGGTACTGGTAATGTACTGGATACTATGGAAGGCAGAGCTAAGGGGAAGAGAGTTTCGAGACCAATTCCTAGGCTTCAGGATAATGCAGCTGAGAGAACTACAGTGCCATTAGCTGACATGTCAAACACCAGCATAAAGAGATGGGGATCGTAAGTTCCGGGTGGGACATGTTGAGTTTAAAGAGCCTCGGAAATCTCCAAGTGGGAATGGAGAGTATACAGTTGGATACACAAGTCTGAAGTTCGGAGGAGAGATCTAGGAAGGAGATGCAAATATGAGGGTTGTTGGTATATAAAGGATGAGATTACCTCAGTGAAGATTAGAAAATGAGAAGAAAAGGTGACCTACAACTTGAGCTTTGAGACATTTTAATGAAACAGCCAAGGAGCCCGGTGGGTCGCAAAGAGTTGGATACAACTGAGTGACCAAGCACAAACACACACAGAAATGAGACCCTGGAGACCGGGGGTCACCAGGGGAGGATGGAGCAAGAGAAGAAAATGTTACAAGAAGCGACATGTGAAGTAAAGTGAGGACTGAGCCTGGTGGTTGGCGAGGTTAGGTAGACAGATGAAAGTCAGCTTAGAAGCAGGTGGATGCGGGGACTTCCCTGGCAGTCCATGGGTTAAGACTCCAAGCTTCCACTGCAGGGGCCACAGGTTCGATACCTGCTCAGGGAATTAAGATCCAACATGCTGCATGGTGCAGTCAAAAAAAAAAGTGAGTGATGGATGGAGAGGAAAGGAAAGATAAAATCAATACATCAAAGTCTTGAGAAGTTTACCTGTATGTGCTGTGGCAGTGGGGGTCTGGGTGAGGGGACGGAAGGGAAGAAAGAGCGGAAAGAGAGAGGCAGTGGCTACTAGAGGAAATAGAATCAAGAGGAGGTGTTGTTATCACTGACCTGATTGTAAGACTTCAGTCTGTTTAAGTGTCTGTGGTCAAGTGAGTAAATGAACACCCTGGAATTTTATTACACTAACTCTTCTTAAAACTCTAGGACTTTAAAGTTAAAGAGCCTAATAAAATTGGAATATTAATGAGATTATTAATACTGCAAACTCCTTAAACAGTGCTCACCCTCACTTTCTCCCAGTACCAGCACTGAGCCCAATCCATAGACAATGAACTTTTTAAATGGGAAAGACTGAATAAATTAGAGTAGATTTGCAAATCCATTTATCTCTGAATAATTTCTAATTTTAGTTCCATTTATATCAAAACACAGCTCATTTGTTCTCCCTTTTAAGAGCTCCGCATTTAAGAAATATAGTTTCTCAAAAGAGCCATGGACTAAAAATAACATATAAATATTATCATCTGTTCATTAAGACTGGAGTTTTCCTGATTGTTAAAAGAAACTATATATTTAAAAAAATACATATTTTCTTAATTTCAAGTCTCTGCCTTGAAAAGCAGAAGGTATCATTGATAAAGCTGATGATTTTTTTTTCAGTGTATCAACACAGCACTACGTAGATATTTTTCAATTATTCAGTTGAGAAATTCAATCAAAAGAGAGAGAAAAGAAAAAACCCAAGATAGTTCAGGTTCCCAAACCATTAATTTCTCATCTAAATTGCACCGTTTGGCCTCTTCATTAAATAGAGTATTTGTAAAAGTAGCAGTTGGGATATTCAGCCCTCCATACCTAGATCCATCTAAATGAAGGTCTTTGCTGACATTTCTCAACCAGATATTAGGAGGAAAATAGAGTACTCAGCATAGGGCTACCGNTGGATGGCATCACCGACTCAATGGACATGAGTTTGAGCAAACTCTGGGAGTTGGTGATGGACAGGGAGGCCTGGTGTGCTGCAGTCCATGGGGTCGCAAAGAAATCAGACACAGTTTAGAGACTGAACAACAACAAAAATGAAGAGAGGAATGAAGAGGATATTGTGGGAAGCATGGAGAAATTTTAAAACTATTGTATTGCTGTACTATATCATCTATTCAAACCCTTACTGTCTTTATTAGGAAACAAAACCAAAACAAAACCAAGGTTGTTTTGTTTTTTTGCTTTTTTCTTGACCGGGGCCAGGATTTTTTTTTTTTTTTCCCCTTGTTTTGGTTGGGGGAAGGGAAAAATGACTGTTTATATGACTGCTTCCTCAGTGATGATGAGAACTTCAGAGGTAATGGAAAGCTTGCTCACAAGACTAAAAGTACGCCAGGCAGCTTTCTGCTCACAGCAATTGTAAATGCTTTTTGTGGTAGTAAGCAGATTTCGGTTTGAAAATAGACTAAAGAGAAAAGGGGAGAAGAGGCATAAGCCTCTTGTCAAGAACAGAACAGAAGAAAAGAGAACCCACCATGACCTTGATGGATGGGAGAGGCTCACCCCTCATATCCTGGGGCTACATAAAGTTTCCAGATCCTGTGAGACCCTGGGGAAGTGAGGGAAGGTCCAGAAACCACTGAAATTGTATATCTACTCCCCAACTCCAGTCAGAAAGGGGCTTAGACTCAGAAAAGTTGGTTTTATTAAACCAGTGACATTCTTGAACACCTCCATGATATGGCTGATTGCTTTTTTTTTTTTTTTTTGGCAGTATCAGTACAGTGTAAGCATCTATAACTATAGAGAGTTGATTCTCAGAATTCTCTAGCCATTCACTATGGAAAAATCTTTTTTTCTTTATTATCCTCTGTTTTGTGAAAGGAGTATTTTGAAGAGAAAAAGAGATCTTCCTCCAAAACCATGTCACATCTGTCTAGGGCCAGGGAGTGTGCCAATCCCAGAAGCCAAGGCTGAGTGAGGTGGCCATCCTTCCCTGAGA